ACCAGTCCTTCATCACCTTAAACGAAATTGGGTGAATACATCTTATAAAGTAGTAGCTATCCTGATGGGGGGGTGGTAACGCTCATTCACCTTGAATCCGGGGGTGATCTTAAATTGCTTTTTGTCTGAGTAGATTCGGAAATTAACAGTAGATCTTGAATAGGAACTAGATTCAGTCTAGAGCCAATATTGGAATTTTCTCGTAATCATAGAAATAGGTCTCACGCCGCCAATGGACTTGCAAAAAAAAGGTATTCTTATCCAGGGGAGACGGCAGTTTCGAACTCGCCTCAGACGGGGATCGAACCTGGTTGGTGTGGAAAACAGGCTTAAAATGCGTAGAAACCTACTTAGCCTTAATAAAAGTGAATTAGACCAGGCCTCTCCTATGTCACATTACTATCGGAATTGTTGAGGAGGTAGGCTTACATTTTGCAACTGCAATCGTTTGGGTTACTTATATTTGTATAGATTTTCTTTGCTGGTGGCGCTGATCAGACCTAGAAGAAGTCAGAACTACCGTCCACTCTGGATGAGAATATTTTCTGAAAGGTAAGGCCAAGCGAAACTGCATGGCCTATTTATATTATTCTGGTCAGATTCAATTAACGGTACTTCATTAGCCTTTGTGGCCCATGTTGAATAAAGCTCTTATTCAAGTCTTTAGACCCTAACGACAGCTCAGCTGTGATGACGATCATTCGATTGCAGATTCACTGACGCTTCCGAGCGCCAAACTAATGTGTAATGAAGAAGTTAGCCAGTACAAGCAACTGCTCATCGTAAAATGGAGTCACCACTTGTACATGCGCCATTTTTCCCGGCACATGTCCTCTTGTGCTGCTGGTCGCAACATTGAACATCTCAAAGCTAAATCCTTATGTGGAGTGGGCGGACGCTTTCAAAATTGAGTTGTCCGCGTTGCACAAGCCGACCAAGCGCCTGAATCAAAAGGTACGAGAGATATGGTCATCCTTATATTTATGCTTGTTAAATATATCAACTACTAATTGATAAACTACCAATATTTCCTCGTCGGTGCTGTACGCCATTGGACATACAGCCATATCAGAAACGTATGACATACAAATGCAGGCACAAGTACACACATACACACACATACACGCATGTATAGATATGCAATTCCACTTTGCTCTAGGCAATTAAGTTATAGTCGACACGAATTTTCATCCCCTATTTTGCCATGCCCGTTGTGGAGAAAGATTAATGTCGGGACGATTAAGTGCACATCATCATCAAGGAGCACCCGAAGCTGACTTGTCTCGATTTGTTCTGACAACAATTGACTCCAAAAGGCAGACCTGACCGGCCTCCTGTTTGTGATGGCCATTTTTCCCATCTCCGCTTCCCTCTTATGGATGCTTTCAAGCACATTGTTTCGAGTAAGAGTTCTAGTTTGGACAAGTCTGCATGTGCGTCGGGGAGGGGGGCTATGTGGATGTGGGGTGGGTCCACATCTTTATGGAAGCGGAGGATATTTGCCAGTCCTGTATGGATGTATGCGAGCACAGTATTAATAAGTGCGTGTGGTTGTGTTTGTGCGCATACGAAGGGAAAAAGAGTATTCAAGAGTTGCCTCTTAGACAGCTATTGTCTCCGTTTCCCTTGGCCACGCCTTTTGTCACGCTAAAAAGCAGGAAAAAACAACAAATTGCCCCTTCGAAAGCGGTTTACTTGGTTGGCCGACAAGCCTGAATGAAGAGAGTTCAGATAATTTGTTGGGCTGACAGTTGGGGCTGGTGTTACTAAATTGCGGCCAGAATGGCAGAGACGATGAAACAAGCGATCATTCGGAAGTGGTGTGGTGTCGTGTCGTGTCGTGTCGACAGAAGAAAGCCTGGATGGGGTTGTGCTGGCAGCTCTGGCAGACCAGCTGAATGGGCGGATGCCAGAGGGCTGAAGAGGGGCGGAGGAGGAAGAAAGTGAGAGAAGGATAAGGAGTAAGAACAGGATTATCGGGACGACGACGCTTTTAGGCCGAAGGACATCGAACCAGGTGACAGCACTGGCTTAATGGAAGCAGACCTTTCCGACACGCCCCTTTCATGTCGCCCGTAAAGGGAAATGGCGCTCAGACGGAGCAACCTAACCTTGTGGTAATGGAAGCAGTTCGCTTGCGTTTGGCCAGAAAAGGAGACTTTGTAACTCAACCATCGTCGGTTCATCTTCACTAGGATTCTGCGCTTCTCTCGAAGCAACGACGGAGGATGTGGCATCTTTTGCCGTCCGTAAAACGGCCTTCGTATAGGAGCCTGCGATATAACCTTCGAGGTGTTGATGAATGCCGGTCTGTATGAGCTTCCATTAAGTATTTAAGAGGGAAGCTTTTCCAATGACATAAAATAATGCATACCTGATGAAGTTAAATTGCTATTCTGTTTGATAAGGTTGTGCAGTAGGAGCCGAAACCATGTATTGTGTACTTGAAGCATTCTATATAGGAACAAGCACACTTTAGTCACACCAAGCTTTCTCTGATTTTTATTTCAAATCCAGCAGTACACTTGGTCCGTTGTGTGCCAATTTTACTGTACTCAGCTCAAGTGAGACTGAAGCTCGTCAAATGGGTCCACGATAAAATGTACCTCCTTCTAGAACACTCTGTCCTGAAGACAAAGAGCATCTATGACATTTGGGGTAGGGTATCTTACTCATAGCAGTCGACAAGTTAGCAAATTTTCGAGACTATCAGTAAATCACTTATATGGCCTTGAAATTCACATCTGCTCTGTGACCCAAGGGCACTCATGGCAATGTGGCCGAGTGGTTAACGTGTCAAGCTACCGTCT